TACATGCAGGGTCCAAGTGTGCCATAAGCTAGCTACTATCCCCAAGGCTTCTCCTTGTATATAAGAAGCAGACCACATCCCAAAGGCAGCTACTCAGATGTAGATCCCATCATGGAGCTGATTGCCAGTCTCATCATGGGGAATAACTACCACCAGCTGCCTAGACACTCAACCAGGCCCAACCAAGTTGATGCACAAACATAACCACTACAGTGACATCTTTACTTTATAACATTTTAAAGAGGTCTTTTGTAGCAGTTTACCTAGTGCAATGCAATGTCTGATTTCTTGACTGCTGCTTCAATGGATGTTGGCTGTGGATCCAAGTAAAATGAATTCCCTCACAACTTCAATCTTTTCTCCATTATCATGATGTTACTTATTGATCTATTTGTGAGGATTTTTGTTTTCTTTATGTTGAGGTATAATCTATGCTGAAGGTGGTAGTCTTTGATCTTCATCAGTGAGTGCTTCAAGTCATCCTCATTTTCAGCAAGCTGCCTTCCAAAGTCCTTGGCATAAACAAGTATCTCCAGCACTCCATCCATTTGTTGAAACATCTCAATGGGTATTCTGTCAGTTCCTGGAGCCTTGTTTTCCACCAATTCCTTCAATGCAGCTTGGAGTTCTTCTTTCAGTACCATTGGTTCTTGATCACATGGTACTTCCTGAAATAGTTGGACACCAACCAATTCCTTTTGACACAATGACTATATTCCTTCCATCTTCTTTTGATGCTTCCTGCATCATTTAATATTTTGCCCATAGTATCCTTCAATATTGTAGCTCAAGGCTTGAATTTTTTCTTCAATTCTTTCAGCTTGAGAAATGCTGAGGATGTTCTTCCCTTTTGGTTTTCTAGCTACAGGTCTTGACACACTTCATTATAATACTTTGTTTTGTCTTCTTGAGCCATCTTTTGAAATCTTCTGTTCAGCTCTTTTAGTTCATCATTTCTTCCATTTGCTTTAGCTCCTCTACTTTCAAGAGCAAGTTTCAGAGTCTCTTCTGACATCCATTTTGGTCCTTTCTTCCTTTCCTGTCTTTTTAATGACCATTTGCCTTCTTCATGTCTGATGATTTTGATGTCATCCCACAACTCGTCTGGTCTTTGTTCATTGGTGTTCAATTCCTGGAGCCTTCTTTTTCATTGATGCCTACGGTGTAACTTGGACTTCTTCCTTTAGTACCATTGGTTCTTGATCATATGTACATTACCTCCTGACATGATTAAATGTCAGCCAATTATTTTTGGGCATTGACTGTGCATTCCTTTCTTCTTCTTCTTTACATTTTTTTTTTTTTTTAAGGTTCCATTCCTTTTTCCATTTTTAAATTATGATTTGGGTGGAAGTTTACAGGGCAAATATGTTTTCCATTCAACAATTCATAAACATTTTGTTTTGTGACACTGATTACAATCCCCCAATATAACAGTACTCTTTCTTCTTCCTCCCTGTGTATGCCATTTTCCTTTGTTCTTCTTTCCTATCTTTTTGTACCTTCTGAGCTTTATCTCAGGAGGAATGTTGCCTTTTTGATTTCATATGGATGGCTGTTCTAATGAGTGCATCCCTCCATCTCTGGTATTTTTGTTCACCATATAGGCCTGTCTATTGTTTGGCTGATAGTTGAACAACAGGGGTGAATTCAGTTCCAGAGTTGATGGGTGTCTAAGGACCATAGTCTCAGGGGTTCCACCAGTCTCTATCATACCAGTAAGGTGTTTTATTTTATTTATTTATTTTTTAAAATTATTTTGAGTTTTGTTCCACATTTCTCTTCCCCTCTATCCAGGATCTTCTATCATGATCCCTTTCAGAGTGGTCCACAGTGGTAGCCAGGCACTCTATAGTTCTTCTGATCTCAGGGTTATAGAGGCTGGGGTTCATAAGGCCCATTCTTTCTTTTGACTAATTGCTTCCTTTGCTCCAGACAGGGGGAGACCAATAGTTGCACTTTAGATTTCCTTCTTCTTTTGGTACTTCTAGCATCATTCACTATTTTCCCATAGATTCCATCAGTATTGCAACTCAAGGGTTGAATTTTTTAAATTCAGTTCTTTCAGCATGAGAGATGCCAAGCATGTCCTTTTAGCTTTCTAACTCCAGATCTTCACATATTTCATTATAATTCTTTACTTTGTCTTCTCAAACCACCCTTTGAAATCTTCTGTTCAGCTCTTTTACTTCATCATTTCTTCTATTTGCTTTAGCTATTCTGTGTTCAACATCTATGGACTCGGCATTCTTTGGAGATTAACATGTGTCTCGAAATCAATCTTTCCTCATGTCTAGGAGGTTCTTAGCACAGGGGCTCCAGTCCAAAGGACTAACTTCACTCCAGCTCTTCTTTCTTGGTGATAGGTCCCTCCTTCTCTGCTTACTTATCTTAAGGTGATGCAGGCCACACTTCTGGGAAACTCCCCTTACTTGCATGAGGTATTTGATGTGAGTAAAGATGCTACATTTCACTGTAATTCTTCCTCGTTAACATAACAAACATACCTTATCCTTTTTAACATAACCCAATCCTGCCTCATTAATCACAGGCAGAGATTAAGATTTACATATAGGACAATTAGATCACAAAATGGAGGACAACCACACAATACTGGGAATTATAGCCTCACCACTTGACACATATTTTGGGGAACACAGTCAAATCCATGACATTCTACCTTTTAGTCCCCCAAAATTAATGTCCTTGCCACAGGTAAAACACTGTCACTCCATGATATAATCCCAAGAGTCTTAAATCAACTCTAAGTCCAAATTCCATCCTGAGGCAAAATTCCTCTTCATCTGTGAACCTCTGAAATCTAGAATACAAGTTGTCTACTTCCAAAGTGCAATGGTGGAACAAGCAGAAGGCAGATATTTGGTAGAAATTGGAGAGAAAGAAGGGATAAGGGGCTTCAAACAAGTTAAAAAAAAACAGCAGATCAATTTACGTTAGCTCTCAAGGCTTGAAAACAATCTTCTATTCTCTGAGACCATCTATGCAACGGCCCTGCCCTCCATACTCTGGGGATTAGTCATGCTATCTTGATTCTGGGCAGAAGCCCCTTGGCCTTGGGCTTCAGCTCCATCTTCCAGGGCCACTGGGTTGACAACTCTGCTCCTTCAGTTTTGGGAGGCCCCATATTTCTAGTCCAACTGAGTGGTGACCCCATGCCATGGCCCCAGCAGGGCCTGTTATTCTTCCCCTTGGGCATGACAGCCCTGCACCTTCAGCTTTGGGCAATAGCTCCAGCCCTTTCACCCTGGCACTTGTGAACTGCAGCCCCACACTTCAGAACCAAGTTGGTGAAAATCTGACTCTGAAACCTAGGAGATCATGGCAGCCTAGTAGGCTGTCATTCCACCCTTTGAGATCCCAGAAGTTGGGATCTATCTTTTGAGAGTGAGGCAGCTCTGCTTCCTATGTTCCTTGTCTCCACCTTATGCTTTCTGGCCCTTTGGTCTCTTGGCCCCTTGGCCCCTCAGCCTTCTTGGCCCAGCCTGGGTTCTGCCCTGCTCAGACAAGTGTTATAAAACTGTTTAGCTGTAACAAAAAGTACCAGGAGGTGCCCTACTCCACTAGTAAGCCTTAGTTCAAAGGTGCTCAGCTCTCTTGTTTTGTTGGTTAGCAAGCCTGGCTCTGACGACAAATGCCCAGAAACACCACACTGCATCAGGAAGCCTCCTACCTGAAAACACTCAACTTTCTCATTACATTGGTCAGCTCCTACACTGTCTTGTGTCAGTCTCCTTATTCTGCTGCCACTGTTTCTCTGCTGGTGCTTCTTGCCATCTGTGCCATCTCCAGTGTTACAGGTCTCCTCACTTCCTCTGAACCCTCACCCAAACAGCCTTTGATGTCCATAATTCCACTAATAGTTTCTTGAAAGCAATGTAGACTTTTGCTCTCAGGCAACTTAAAACTCTTCCAGCCTCTTCTCATTACCCAATTCCAAAACTGCTTCAACATTTAGGTATCTGTTAGAGAAGTATCCCACTCTTCTGGTACCAAATTCTGTCTTAGTTGTCTAGTGCTGCTATAAAAGAAATGTCACAAGTGGATAGCTTTAACAAATAAGTTTATTCCCTTACAGTTTAGGAGGATAGAAGTCTGAATTCAGAGTGCTGGCTGTAGGGGGAGGCTTTCTCTGTGTCAGACCTGGAGTAAGGTCCTTGTCTCCTTTCAACACCTGTGGGCCCACCATTCCTTGGAGATCTACATGTGTCTTAGTGTAAATCTCCCCCTGCATCTAGGAGGTTCTCAACACAGGCACCCTGGGTCCCAGCTCTTCTTTCTTGCTGGTAATTAGGTCACTCAAGAGTAGATTTAACACATTGAAAACTAATGACTGAAGACCAGAGGACTTGTGGCATAACATCAGAGACATCAGATATGAAGAAAGCAAAAGGTCATTAAAAAAAACCCAGGAAAGATGTATGCAAGGGAGACAGCTCAGGGATCAGGAGTGCATGAGAAGGAAGGACACAGGAAAGAGGTGGCTATGGGGAGGAAGTAAGAGGAAAGCTGTTGCTTGTGGGAGGTTATAGTCAATGTCATGAGACAAAGTGCATGTGAACTGCTGTATGGAAAATGAATTTGCTCTGTAAACTTTCTCCCAAATCACAGTAAAATTAAAAAAAAAAAAAAAGCAGAAAGGAAAGAAAAGACCAAAATGGATATCTGAAGAGCCTCTGAAACTTGCTCTTTAACGTAGAGCAGCTTTCTATCATTACTACTCAGTGCAGTAGATCAAGTTCTCTTTTAGGTCCTTAACTACACCCCTATTGACATTCACCAAAGCAATCTCAAATGCTCCTTTGTTTGTGGTTGGCATATTTCTAAGAATTTGAACAAGAGCATTATTAGAGATTTGGAGTAGAAAGAAGCTATGCAATTTTAGACTAGCCCTTATTTTAACTTAATAGGGATTCTGATTTTTTATTCTAGAAATTCTCCATAATGATATAGCTGTCTCTATTCTAAAAATACCTTATTAGGGATAATTCCAGTTCAGTTAAATTGCTTATATCTGATGAGAAAAGGAGGGAACATATCAGCTCTATCTATATAAAAGGAGAATTTTTCTTAAAGTCTCCGAAATCACTTATTTTCTACCTTGAAAGAGTATGTTATTTCAAAGGCAGGCTTTATATAGAAAGAATTCAGATTACTTTTAGAAACTCTGTTATGTAGTTCATTGAGATAAAATCCAGGGATATTTATTTAAAGGTTCCCATTCCAAAAGTGGAATGGGAACCTTTAAATAAAACAAAACCAGTAGTCTGTTTATTCAGAATTCTGACTGTGCATGGTATTTTTGATAAGCTGGAAACCTTATCATGAATTATTTATAATTTATAGGGTTCTCATGTAGAGGGGGTTATAGGCTAGGAAACAACAAAGCTGAATCCTGAAAACATGTTAAGTTTATGAATGTTAACTATGTCTTACCTAAAAATTCAATATATCATGCTAAAATTTCAGAATGATGTTGGTATGGAAAAAAGTAAAAAGAGAATATTTATTTTATTTTTACAGGATTCCAAAATCCTTACCAAGCAGTTGGCCACTTTGGGACAGAAGCCTACCATACATACAGCTTCTGAGAGAGAAATTTATTATCCAGCGGAGCCATTGGAGAATGGGTATTTAATTTTTATTTTTTAAATATGAAATTCAGCTTTTAAATTAAATAAAATGAACATCAGAAACTTAAAGTAAAAGAGAGTTTTAAAGCCCTAGTGGAATTTTATGGATCTCTGGAGTGTGTAGTGCCTAAGGCATTTGACTGCTGACCAGATGCCTGGTGGTCAAACCCACCAGCCACTCCTGGGAAGGAAGATTGAATAATCTCCTTCCATAGAGATACTGCTTCAGAAACCCAGGGAGGGGTCGCTATGAGTCACAATCAACTTGTTGGCAGTGAGTTTTTGAGTTTTTAGTGGAATTTTATGAAATATCTTGTAATGTAATTTTCAATTAGCTTCTTTTATGATACAGGAAACAAAATGTGGTTCACAAAAATTGTTACCAAATCAGAAAATGCCAGTCAGAATCCTGGGTTATAGTTTCGTATTTGGTACTAATAGCTAAACCTCATTCTAAGAGTCTCTTATGTATATATATATTTGAATACTGGTTCATAAAAGTGAACTACAGTAATGTGACTGCCATTACAATCACTACTTCCACCAGTATGAACACACACACACACACCAGAAATTCCATTTGAGAAGTATTATCTGTTAATGTTAAAATTAATATATTTTCACCAAGTTTAGATAGCCCCTCATGGTCTATTGAGTACCTCACAGGGCAAGGCACTTATAAATACAAGATAACAGCTCTTGCTGTCAAAGACCTTACAGTTAGTAAAAGAGACAAGTAAGAAATAAACATTATGACACAGGTGAGGCCAGGGTACAGTGAGAATACACAGAATGAACACCAAGCCTGGCTTCCAAAAAAAATCCATACTCACTGCCATCGAATCAATTCTGACTCATAGCAACCCCTTTTGGGTTTCCAAAGCATTAAATCTTTACTGAAGTAGATTCCCCAGTCTTCCTCCTGCAGAGTGGCTGGTGGGTTTGAACTAGCAGCATTTTCGTTAGCAGTCAAATGCCTTAGACACTATACCATTAGAACTCCTTAAGTCTGGCTTGTTGTTGTCGTTGTTATGTGCCATCGAGTCAGACCTGACTCATAGTGAATCCTACTTAGGTTTCTGAGGCAGTATCACTACAGAAGTAGATTGCCCAACCTTTCTTCCAAGGAGTCTGGCTTAGAGGAGAGGAAATCAGGGAGGGAATTGCTAAAGAGATGACATCTGCATTTTGAAAAGAAATAAGTTTGCAGATTGGGAGAGCATTCCAAGCAGCAATGGCAACATGTCAAAGCTCTTGAAACTAAGGCCTTAGAAAGCAGATACATTTCAGGAGATGCAAAGAAATTCAATTACTAGATAGAGAATGAGGTGCATTGAGGGAGATAAAATATTTTAAACACAATTATCTACAACTGAGATTCAAGGTGATTTCTTAAAATTTGGGAGATAAGAAGGTGTAGGAGGAACAAACTAAACTAAAAATATAGTCTCATTTATTTATTTTTGTATTCTTTCACTTTTAAAAAATAATATTTTATTGTATTTACACAGATGAAAGCCTACACACAAAATTAGTTTCTCATTTAACACTTTCTACCCAAATTATTCAGTGATATTGGGTACATTTTTCACAATGGGTCATCATTCTCATTCATTCTGTTCTGGTTCTACCATTTCCAGTACTCTTGTTTCACTGCTCATTTACATTTTCATCTTTGTGTTAGAGTAATTTTTGACAATTCAGTCTCATATAGGTGATTTTTTTAAAGGAGCTCATTACTACAGGTGATATCTTCAGTTTATGAGCCAATCTGTTATTTAGCTAAAAGGTAAACTCAAGGGATAATTTCGGTCTAAAGTTTAAAGTCAGGGCAATAGACTTGGGTAATCCTCTAGTTCCAACTGGTCCAGTGACTCTGGGCTTTTTTAATAATATGAGTTTGGTTCCACATTGTTTTCCCATTCTGTCAATATCTGTCTATTGTGGTGATGATCCGAACAGGTAGTGGTGGTAGCTGGGCACTATCTAGTTATTCTGGCCTCAGGGTTGATGAGGCCATGGTTTGTGTTGACTATTAGTACTGTAGACTTGTCTGATTTATTTTGGACATCAGTATTGAGATATAATTTATATTTTATACAGCTAACCCCTTTAAGGTGTAGAATTCAGTGGTTTTTTTTAGTATATTTACAGAGTTGTGCATCTATCACCAATATCTAATTCCAGAACAGCTTTATCAATCAATCCAAAAAGAGACCCCATTTCCTCTTCCTTCATCACTTGGAACCACTAATTTGTTTTCCATCTCTTTGGATTTATCTGTTCTGAATGTTTCATATAAATGGAACCACACACTATGTGTTCTTTTCTGATTGATCTATTTCACATAACATATGTTTCCAACCACTCACCTGCCAATTTGTCATACTGTGCTGGCTTGCATGATGCTGTGAGGCTGGAGGCTAGGCCACCAGTATTTCAAATACCAGTGGGGTCACCCATGGTGAACAGATTTCAGTGGAGCTTCCAGACTAAGATAGATTCATAAAAAGGAAGGGGCCATCCACTTCTTAAGGAATTGGCCAGTGAAAACCTTATGAATAGCAGTGAATGCAGTCTGCTATATTACTGGAAAACTTTATGAATAGACCTGAAACATTGTCTGATAGTGCTGGAAGATGAGCTCATCAGGTTGGAAATCACTCCAAATACAGCTAGGGAAAAGCTGCCTCTTCAACTTTAACAGCGTGGATGAAGTAAAGCTTTTAGGACCTTCATTTGCTGATGGGGAACAACTAAAAATGAGAAGAAACAGCTGTAAACATCCATTAATAATCAGAATGTAGAATGTACAAAATATGAATGTAGGAAAGTTGGAAGATGTCAATAATGAAAAAGAATGCACAAAGATAGATACATAGGGATTTGTTAGCTGAAATGGACTAATCTTGGCCATTTTGAATCAGACAACCAGAAATGACAATGTGAAGAGGAACGATGTGGCATTCATCATCACAAAAAATGTTTCAAGATCTATCCTGAAATACAATGCTGTTAGTGGATAGGGTAATATCCATATACCTACAAAGAAGGCCACTTAATACTACTATTATTCAAATTTACACACCAATCACCAAAGCCAAAGACAATGAAATTTAAGATTTTTACCAACTTCTGCAGTCTGAAATTGACCAAAAATGCAATAGAGATATGTTGATTATCACTGGTGATTAGAATGCAAAAATTGGAAACAAAGAATCACCTATAGTTGAAAAATACAGCCTTGGTGATAGAAATGATGCTGGAGATCTCATGATAGAATTTTACAAGACCAACAAATTATTCATTGCAAATACCTTTTTTCAACAAAAAAATGGCAGCTATACACATGGACTTCACCAGGTGGAGTACACAGGAATATGATTGACTACATCTGTGGAAAGAGATGATGGAGAGCCTCAGTATCTTCAGCCAAAACAAGGCCAGGAGCTGACTGTGGAACAGACCTTCAACTGCTCATATGCAAGTTTACGCTGAAGCTGAAGACAATTAAAACAAGTCCACAAGAGCCAAAATATGACCTTGATTATATCCCTTCAGAATTTAGAGACCATCTAAAGAATAGATTTGATGCATTGAACACCAATGACCGAAAACCAGAGGAATTGTGGGATATCAAGAACATTATCCATGAAGAAAGCAAAAGGTCATTAAGAAGACAGGAAAGGAAGAAAAGACCTAACTGGATGTCAGAAGAGACTCTGAAACTTGCTCTTGACTGGAGAGTAGCTAAAGCAAATGGAAGAAATGACAAGATAACAGAGCTGAACAGAAGATTCAAAGAGCAGCTCAAAAAGACAAAGTTAATTATTATAATGAGATTTGCAAAGACCTGGAGTTACAAACCCAAGAAGGAAGGACATGGTCAGCAGTTCTCAAGTCGAAAAAACTGGAAAAAAAAAAAATTCAAGCTTTGAGTTACAATGTTGAAGGATAATTTGGCAAAGTATTGAATGATGTAGGAATCATCAGAAGACAATGGAAGGAATACACAGAGTCACTGTACCAAAAAGAGTTGTTGATTTTCATCCATTTCAGGAGGTGGCATATGATCAAGAATCAATGGATGGTATTGAAGGAAGAAGTCAAAGCTGCACTGAAGGAATTGGTGAAAAACAGACTCCAGAAATTGATGGAATACCCATTGAGATGTTCCAAAAAATGGATGGTTCAGCAGACACACTTACTCATCTATGCCAAGACATTTGGAAGACAGCTACCTGGCCAACTGACTAGAAGGAATCCATATTTGTACCCATTCCAAAGAAAGGTATTCTCACAGAATATGGAAATTATTGATCGAAGTCATTAATATCACCTGCAAGTATAATCTTGCTGAAGCTAATTCAAAAATGGTTGCAGCAATATACTGACAGGGAACTTCCAGAAATGCAAGCTGGATTCAGAAGAGGACATGGAATGAGGATTATCATTGCTGATGTCAGATGGATCCTGGATGAAAGCAAAGAATACCAGAAAGATGTTTACTTGTGTTTTATTGACTATGCAAAAGTGTTCAACTGTGTGTATCATAATAAATTATGGGTAACAGTGAGAAGAATGGAAATTCCAGATACTTAATTGTGCCCATGAGGAACCTGTACATAGAACAGGAAGCTGTCGTTCAAACAGAATAAGGGGATACTGCATGTTCAAAATCAGGAAGGGAGTGTGTCAGGGTTGTATCCTTTCACTGTACTTATTCAATCTGTATGGTGAGCAAATAATCCAAGAAGCTCAACTATATGAAGAAGAATGTGGCACCAGGATTTGAGGAAGATTCATTAACAACCTACCATATGCTGACGATACAACCTTGCTTGTTAAAAGTGAAGATGAGTTTAAGCACTTACTGATAAAGTCTGCATTTGGATTACATCTCAACATAATGAAAACAAAAATCCTCAAAACTGGACCAATAAGCAGCATCAAGGTAAATGGAGAAAAGACTGAAGTTGTCAAAGATTTCATATTAC